GCCAGTCAGCTTCAAGCAAAGGGGAGGAGACTCTGACCATTCACGAACCATAAGCTGACGCCAACTGGCGACCTGATGGAGTAAACCGCACAAGACAGGATAGCCTGTATTGACTCTAGGCTATCGAGATCTAAAACAGCTGCAATGTGGTCTAGTGCCATCGAATAGTAAGCTTCGGCAGCATCGTAATGACTCTGACCGAGTACAAGAGAACCAATCGCATAGACCTAGTGTTGATGTAAGCACACGAGGAATTGACGTGTTGCCGAAGAGCTCACCATCAATACGAAAAACAAAGAAACTCCGCTAACGCTGCTGAGATCACCTTCAAGACTCGCTTTTAAACAACTCTCTTCCCAGATCTGGAACGTTGGCTTGTGAAGAAAGGGGTATTGAGGATGAATGTTGTTGAAGTAAGCCTGAGAAAGATTGGCTCTCAAGGTGGGCGACGGCAGCCGCAACGGAACTTCGCGAGGCACCTCAGAGCCAGGCCCTTTCGAACGACCCGCATGGCTATGCTGTGAACTACCACCTCTACTTGCAAGACCCATGGTAGCGCTCACAATCCGCGAAAAGGAGACCGCCGAGGATGGCCCGAAGTAGTGAGGCTCTCTGCCAGCGGCGCTGAGACATAGCAAAGCAACTTCCGAGGAGAGCATGTCGACATGGTGATCATCAGCATCTATTGATGGTGCACGCAGTGCCCGAGAGAAGTCCATGTCCTCGAAGGACGATTGGTCGGGCAGGCTTGGGAAAGCCGTTGGCATGTGCATGATGGGCATAGGTTGACTTGTCGAGCCTGTAGGGGGCGGGGCCGAGTGATCGGCATCGTGACCCTCGTTGGGACCGAAGTGGTCGAGAGCCACTTCGGGCCGGACCTGTTGCAAGAGACCTTCCAGATAAGCTACACGGGCCTCAAGGGACTTCATGTAGTCGCGCGGGCGGTGTAAGCCGGTCCCTGGATCTTCGACTAGGCAGTCTATATGACAGTCAGCCGAACCTGCTCATGTGCCATCGAGGTCTCTTTGAGGGTCTTACCTCTTCCTGTTCTGACGCAGTTCTGGCACTTGGGGCTTTGTCCATCGCACTACGAATGTTAGAAGAACCTAAGGAAACAGGGTGCAGATTAGGTTGATGAACCTTCAGTTTCTTTTGCTTGCAGCCGATACATGCCAACATCGTTCGCTCGCCGAGCCGCGGGCGCTTTGCCGTGTGTGTGCTGGCCCTCTGGCTGCTCATTGTGAAATGCAGGGTGAAGGTTCCAGCCAGCAGCAAGGTAAGGTCTCCCGATCAGATCTCCAATGTGGAGAAAGTCAGATATCGCGTGCCTTTGAGCGAGAATCAACGGCTGCGAGTCACCTCTGATCCGATATCGTGGAGTCCGGGGGAATGTGTCAGCAGCGTTTAATCTGGCTGATAAGGGGGGTAACAGTGCTCAATGCGCCCATCTCCCCGCGGGCACGCTACCATTATCAAGTGCGGAGACGGTGGAGAGATTCTCCCTACAGTGGTCGTAGCACTATCGGGACTTTCCTGCAGGCTCGGATGACACATTTTATCAGGCAAGTAACCATTGTTAGTGCACTCGGAGGACCCGTTAATCTCCCGCTGCCATCCCGGCCGGCATCGGAGGAGTGGGCCGAGGTACGCCGACATCAGCTGTTCAAGAACCGTTGATGTTCTATGTCGGACTTTTGCCCCGAGGATTGGACACATTGACTGTTTGTAACCAAGAATTTTGATGCAAAGGGGGAAAAGAAAACGACTGGAGTGGAAGACAATCCGAACAGGAAAGCCACAAGCCCTGGATGACGACGACCAGTCAAGTCGGGCGGATCTCTCTCCGATGGACAGAGACTACTGAGCCAGCCAACGGTGTAGGGCGGATCGGTGGGCGCTATCCTTATTAATAGTTTGTCCGGTTGCGTAAAATGCACACAAGGAAAACAAGCCCTTTGTTGACAGAGTCAGCAATGAAGAGTCAGATACGAGGTGCAGATCGCGGGACGGTGACATGGTCTGCAAGAATGTACAAAGGTCGACACGAATGGACTACAAGGCGCAGAGGTAAGCGCATTTTGGTTTCTTGAGTCAAATTCTATAGCTCGTATGAGGAATTCATCTTTTTGTATACTTCGCAATATTTTGATTTGTGCGCTTCAATTCTATTCGTCGTAACTACTGCGGTAGGCAATAATCAGATCATCAATCAATGCTGCTGGTTTGAGAATGGTGTCATGTGACAAGGCATAGTAATCAATATCCTTACAGACAACGCCATCACTCGTAGCAACGCCCGTCGCACGTCCTTCTGAAGTCGAGAAGTAGGATTCGTGGCTTCAAATTAGGCATCCTTAGAACCGGAAGGACGGCTGTCAAGCCTCCCATGCGCCCGCATCTCGTTGGAATTACTAGTTGCAAAAGTCGCCTGTCGAACAATGCGAGGCTTTCTCGTTCTTCAACGAGAACCTCGCTAGCCCTGTATAGTAATCATTGAAGACCGTTTCGGAGACCGACGTTCTCGCTTCTACCGGCTTAACGCGACGTATCATGACCGGCTCGACCGGCTCGACCGGGCATATTGCCAGCACTAGGTCGGAAGGAAACACCGCTCCGTGTTGACAGACTTACAATTACGAAATAGCCTCATCGCAGTGTTCGCTTCCTTTCATCTCCCCTGTGGCGTCCGGAACCGATTTTAGTGCCGAAGATCAGTCCCGGATAACTGGGACAGGTATACCCGAATGAGTAAATCGTACGTGGAAATGCCGTTTTCGTCCACGACCCAGACCTTTACTTTCCTTCACAGGCTCAGATGCTCCGGTCGTCGAGAGCACGACGAGGGAACCATACCCTTGGCGCGCAAATCAGCTGCACCGCAAACAAGGTTTCCTTTGAGCCAAACAGGAAATCAGATGGAGAGGAATAGACTCACTCTCTGACTCTCGCTAAGCCTCTAGCGTCCACGACCTCGGTGACCTCGACACTCGAGCCCTTCTAGAACAAAGTTTTGAGGTTTCATCTTGTCATTTTGCCCTCCGCACTGAGTGGCGTAATCCAAGAGGATAATGGTCGTCCTTCCCCCTCATCTTCTGCTTACGACCGCCATCTCCTCATCTCCGACGTTGCATCTCTTTCGCACGTAACGACAACCGCCGAATACAAGCCGAAACCGCTATCGACCACATCGGGCCATGTTACAACAACATCTTCAATGATCGTTCTTCTGCGTCCGCACGCACGATGCACCTGCTTTACAAAGCATTGACCAGTGCCTCGATACCTCCGCTCCCGCTACCGCCGCGTGATTACGCCGACTCGGCCGAGGATGTCGACACGCACAGCATAGGCGGCGTGATCGTCGCGTCCGTCGTGCCCGCGACGGCGATCTCGACGATGTTTGCTTTGTCGCGGCTGTTCGTGAGGGGATGGATTCAAAAGAAAGTGCACTTTGACGACGGAATTCTTCTGGCTGCGGTGGTATGAATGCCCGCCTTCGTGTTATCGGACATTTTTGGCTGAGCATCACAGATATCGGGATGGACATCGACAGCGACGACATTAAAGGCCGTCGCGATTGGCCATGGGAGGCACGTCGCATCGCTGAGCGACCATCAGAAGGAGGAGATCTTGCACTGGACAGTCATGGCTTTCTCCTTTGGCATTTTTGCTCTGATACTACCGAAAATCGCCGTGGTCGCTCTCATGAACCGACTACTTCAACCTAAGAGAGGACAACGCTTATTCCTGTGGGCTCTTGTTGCGTTTTGCTCACTAGGCCTGCTTGGAAACGTCCTGGGATTATACACACAATGTTCACCGTCACAAGCTGAGATGTCATTCATGACGAAAGCTTGTCTAGGGCCAGATATGGCCGTGGAATATTCAATATCAACAAGTGGTAAGTAAGAAGCTTATTTCATATGGAGACATCGCTAACCTGGCGGCCTCTCAGCGATATCTGCGGCAACAAATGCATATCTCGCAGTTTATGTGGCTTTCTCGATACGCAAGCTTCATTTCGCGAGAAGGAAACTGTTGGGAGTATTAATATCGATAGTGCTGGGCGCTGTGTAAGTGGTTTTTGAATGAGTCTGCAAGAAATATCCAGTTTGCTAACCATGGTTTTCTCAGGGCTTTGATAACTGCAATATTTAAATGCACGAGATTGAAGTCATTAGGTAGCCCTGATTTTACCTGTGAGTCACAATAATGTCATTGTTCAAGAACGATTTCGCTGACGCTCATTCACAGACGACTCCGCTGACCTGGTCATCTGGACAAGTCTGGAAGCCGACGTGGTCATCATCGCTGTTTGCATCCCAGCGATGCAGCCTCTGATTGACCATCTCTTGCCGCATCCGAGTGACGCAAGCACACTATCCTCTCACGCCCCGACATCGCCAACATCATTCACGCCACGCAAGAAGCTATGGAGCATCAGCCACGACCCAGAAGCGGCAAGAGACTGGGACACGGAGATTCAGATCCCGGAGATGATTATGGTCGAGCGAGAATTTGAGATCAACGTTACAAGAAGCGTACACACATGGACGCCAGACACGAACCCGTCGGCAGTAACGGACGATGAGAAGTTCCGGATAGTGAAGGACCAAGGACCGGACGGAACTGTCACGACGACGGTGGTTGTGATGTCGTCGGCACCGGCCGACGTTACGAGATTCCCGCAAGCTTGAAATACCCCCTATGACGATATGATTACGAACATACACAGATAATGAACATAATTATAGATGCACTCACCTTGGAGCCATGCCAATGCCAAGCGCGTGTGAGTCTGAGAGCGAGTGGAAATTGCAGAACAACACCGTTTAATGTCCCGAGGCTCCTAGAGCTCGTGATGGTGTACAACGCGAAACACCACGGGAAACGTCAAGTCCAATTCCCGTGGGATGCCGGGAATGAGCGCAGAGCTTTCCGGTCCGCTGGCCGCTTAGTCAACTCCACCTCGCGATCAGCCAAGCCCCACAGTGGCTGAAGTCTTCGTGGCTCAGTCGGTAGAGCGTTGGTCTCATATTACTTCAATATGACTCTGTCTCAAGGCAGAGACATCCAAAGGTCGAGAGTTCGAGCCTCTCCGAGGACATCTTTTTGCTGTCCTCCTTTATTTTTCTGTCGAGGTTGCTACCTATCTAGATCTCTCTCTATCTCTGAGGATGGTGCCCTCCCGTTCAGAGAACGTCTATCTCCCATCCCACAAAGGTTGCTAGACCCTAATGCCCTTTAGCCTATTTTACCTTATTCACTTGGTTTCGCTCTCGGATTTCTAGTTTTTTAGATGTTAATCCCGCGTCCACATGTTCTTATCTTCCTCAAACTAAATCGGGGACCTATCCGATGGGCACACGCAGGCCTAGAGCAATTGAATCAGCACCCTTGTAGTGTTCGGCACCCTCTCTTCGTCCGTGTTGCAGAGCCTAAAAAATGACGTAAAATCCATGTGGCCAGCCAGCGAACGACAGGCTCAGCGCACCCTCCCTAATGACTCGCGCCCTGAACACACACTTCCATGTCTCTAAGCTTCGAGACATCGAACCAGATAGGCCCGCGGAAAACACCAAGAGCTTCTCCATTGCTATCCAGCGAATTTTCCGAGATGGTGAATGGCATCGAGGCCTCCAAGAGTCCGGATAAGTCGGGATGCGTGCTAAGGCTCGGTTACGTAGAGATGGGGCTACAAACGACCCTCTCCGGTGGCCAAGATTGAGGCTTCGCCATTCCACGTGTCAATTTAATTGGAGCGGTCAAACGCAGCGCGCGTCACGGCTCGGCGCGGGCAACTTCTCCTCCTCCGAACACACGCGACGATGAAGGCATTTTTCGACAAGGCGAAGAGGAAGATCGAGGCGGAGATCGCGGCCATCACCGGCGACGACGACGAGCCCCGACCGGCGCCACCGCCTCCGGTGCCGACGGACAGCCGGCCGCCGTACCAGCAGGGGCCGCCTCACGGGTTCGAGCGGGCCGTGTTTGCGCATTTCATGGTGAGCAGACTTTCTGCGATTGAAACTTTGAGGGGCCTTTACTGACACAGCAACAGTTGAGTAACACCTGCGAGTACACTGTGGATGAGTACAAAGTCGATATCGGCCTGGCTCAAGAGGCGCATATTGATGGCTTCGTGGTGAACTTTGGTATCCATGAAGAGGCGATCGTGAAGCTTCCCGAGTTCTTCTTCGCGGCTGAGCAGACTGGATTCAAGCTGCTCCTGTCGTTCGACTATGAGGGAGCTGGAGCCTGGCCTAAAGAGAGAGTCATTGAGTTGCTGAATCGGGTGAGTGCACTTCGATAAAGCGCTTACACGCCACGTGCTGACGTCCACCAAAGTTTGGACCCTCTCCTGCGTACTTCAAGCGCGGATGGCAACCAGTTGTTTCCACCTTTGAGGGAACTGGTAACGCTGCCGACTGGCATGACATCAAGGCCGCGACCGGATGTTTCTTCATGCCCTCGTTCTCGTCAATCGGCGCTGAGAACGCCGTGAACACCGGTGTCACCGATGGTCTCTTCAGTTGGGCAGCATGGCCGCACGGCAACACTCGTAAGATGGATCCCGGCTTGGATGCTTCCTACCGTCACTTCTTGGGCAACAGACCGTACATGGTTGCTGTTTCGCCGTGGTTCTACACCAACCTCCCGACCTGGAACAAGAACTGGGCTTGGAAGGGCGATGATCTGTGGAATGACCGCTGGAACGAGATTCTTCAAATAAGACCTGAATATGTGCAGATTGTGAGTATCCTTGGGACAGCGAAAGGTAGTACCTATTCTAATAACGATGGCAGATCTCGTGGAACGACTTCGGCGAGTCCCATTACATCGGACCCCTCCACGAGAAGCAGTTTGGCGCTTTCGAGTACGGCAAGGCACCATTCAACTACGTCAGGGATATGCCTCACGACGGCTGGCGGCTTCTGCTCCCTTTCCTGATCGACTTGTACAAGAACGGCCATGCCATCATCAACCGGGAGGGGGTAGTAACGTGGTACCGCATACACCCCGGCCACGCTGGCGACTGTGGAGGTACCACAGGCAACGCACCGAGTCACGGCCAGGAGTTGCATCATCCGTCGGAGATCATGGAGGACAAGGTTGTGTTCTCGGCACTCCTAACCGGGCCCGCTTCGGTGACAGTGAGCATCGGTGGTGTGCCGCAAGAGGCGTCATGGGATGACGATGGAGTACCGAACGGCGGCGTTGGTGTCTACCACGGCAGCGCGCCTTTCAACGGTAGACTAGGCGAAGTCGTCGTGACCATTCATAGAGGAGCAGACGTTGTCGCCCAGGTTCATGGCCGGCCAATCACCGAAGAGTGCACAGAAGGTATCAACAACTGGAACGCTTGGGTGGGAGGTTCCCATGCGCCGGTTGGTACGCATGCTGTCGCGCATTTGGGATAAACATAAGGCACAGTTGCTTCTTAGCGTCTATTCTAAGCCAGATATCATACAATATCGCGTACGGCAACCAATGCCACCGTTCAACGGCGCTCTATGCTGATTCATATTGCATCTGCGATACCGGGGGCAATAGCGTCCAACTTCTCAAGTAATTCTTTCCACAGCTGCTTTTGAACCTTGATTCCTTCATCACTCGTAATGAACTCTGACGGTCTGTGTTCTGGCAGTTAGTTGAGAACCCAGCAGTGATTTTTCAGAAGGTGATCTGAGCCCTTATCACGTACCTGCCTACTTTGCCGTCATCAAGGTACTGTCCATGCGTTTCTGGTCCGCCTTCAGCAGCTAGAACAAGTGTACGGCTAGCTTCCTCTGGTGCTCTTCCCACCAAGCTAAGCACAACTTTGACAATTTTTCCCTCAAGCCAGCCGAGATTCCGAGTGACTTCCGTGTCAGACAATCCCGGGTTTACCACTGGAACGACGATGTTGCCCAACTTCTCTGACTTGGTGACGTTTTCCGCGAGCTCTCTAGCGAGCTGAAGCTGAATGACCTTGGAAATGTTGTACCTAAAGTCCTTCAGTCCGCTGAAATCGCCGATCTGCGTGGCAGAAATAGCTTACCTCTCAGTCATGCGAGCGGCTTTCTCCACGGCCAAGTCTTTGAAGATGTTTTCACTTTTGCTCTCGATGAAATCAACCCGGGCATGGCCAAGCGATCCAACGAAGGTGATGACAGTTTCCTTGTCATATCTCAAGGACGTTTCCCTCATCTTAGGCAATAGCAGAATGCTGAGGAGAAGCGGGCTCACAGCATTGACTGTGACGAGGCTGTCATCCTTTTCTGCTAGTACGAAGTCATACGTCATGACGCCGGCGTTGTTGACCAAGACATCCAGGCGCTCAAGACTGCAGGCCTGCTTGGCGAAATTCTGGACACTCGCGTAAGAGCTCAGGTCTAGCTCCCAGACTTCCACGACTCCTTTTGTCCCCGTTGATTCCTCTAGGCGGGTTAAAGCTTCCTTGCCCTTTGGTATGCTTCGCACTGCGAGAATGACTTTGGCTGCTTGGAGGAGGATGAAGTGACGTGCTGCTTGAAGGCCGAGGCCGGTGTTGGACCCGGTGATGATGACAGTTTGGCCGTTAAATTTCTTCGTAGGTACCGGGACCTCGGTGAAAAGCTGAGACTGTAGAAATTCAATAACGCTAGGCATTTTGAAACTTGAACGGCTGTTTTCTTCTTGTCCCCGAGCGGATTATTAAGATGGATATGATGAGAATGTTGTCAACGGTAAGGGATTTGAGATGGCTCTGTGATAGAAGAGGTTGTTGGTGGAAGAAAGCCTCGAGGTGATATTGAATCAAGATGAATCAAAAGCTTCAACTTTTAAAAGTGTTGCTTATGGCCGTTTGTATGCTTTTAATACTCTCTTGCCATTTTCTCCAAGCTGGGCGGGTTTCCGCCTCGTAATTAAAGGCTTCTTGATCAATTATCCTTTGATTAAAACAATAATTCGCGGCACTATCATCTCGATCACTGTTCGCGAATAGATAATGGTAAACCACTTGAAGGGAAGTATTTGAATACTTTCTCTCGTTGATTTCTATCATTTACCATCAATGAGGCAACTAAGACCAAGCGCTGAACATAAGTAAACATCCGCCACAGACCTACTACACGCGGAGCTCTCAGATCAACATACTTGCACATCGACCATCTCATGATACCATGTGTGCATCCGCTCGCAGGAATGGACGTCCGATCCCCGACGAGAGAGTCCGCGTGGGCACCGTTGCCTTAGTGCACGGTTGTAAGCCGGCGGCGGAACCCGCATTCGTGGCGTCGGCGGAGTCCCGCCGAAGCGCGAGAGCTAAAGAGCGGCATGAAACCGCCGCCATCACGAAGGCATCTTTCCCCAGAACAGATACCAAACAATATGACGAATCTGTTTGTTTCTTGTCAAGTAATGTCACGTCGTCTAATCTGACATGCGTCTGCGTGGGTGGTGTGCCAGCAAGGTTCACCCCCGGGCCCCTCTTCGGCGTGCATGAAGTCTCCGAAAATGTTCCGTGCGACAACTTATAATGACGACGACGTTCTTATTCAGCTACAGGCAACCCTCAGCTTCATCATCCATGATCTTGAGGTCCTTTGCCTAGGCTTATCTCGATCCACGCTTTCCCGACTCGTCCAGGTGTTTTCACTATCCCGAAGATGGCCGACGACAACAAAACGCCCTTGGACCACTTCAATGCGGTAGCCGAGTCCTATGAGAAGAGCACTGGTGGCTGCACGAGAGAGCTCGCTGAGAGGCTCGTCCCGTTACTCGATATCAACAACGACTCCGTGGTTCTCGATAACGCATGCGGCACTGGTATTGTCACCGATGTTATCATGCAGAAGTTCAAAAGTGGGAAAAGTCCCGTCATACACGCTGTCGACGGCGCTTCCAAGATGGTTGAGCTCGTAGAAGCCAGATTCCCGGATAACGACAATGTCCGGACAGGAGTCATGCCTGGCGAAGATTTGAACTTCCCCGATGAGACCTTCACCCACTCTGTCACCAACCTCGGATTTTTGTTCTTCGATGACGCGAAGAGGGGCGCATCTGAGATTTGGCGCACACTGAAACCTGGCGGTATTGCTGTTGTCACCAATTGGGAGGAGCTCGGATACCTTCCCGTCCTGT